AAGCATTAATAACTCCTGCTGTGAATGGCCACTTTGGTCGTTTAATGCTTTGTGTGCAACTGTCACCTTTTTCATTCTGTTGTGAAAAGATCAGAATGAGAACATAAGGCAGAGTCCTGCTGAAGAAAAACTCTTCTTAGACACAGAAAAAAACATTTGAAAATGTTGCAGCTCTCAATGACATCAAGTTAAGTTAAACATATATAAAACATTATGCATCATGTTCTAAAACAACGTGATACATTCTGCAGATAAAAGATACTAATAAGAACATTAGTGTAAGATACACAGAAGTGTGACTTCACACTTCTGTGTATCTTACACTAATGTTCTTGGAAATTGTAAATAGTGCTTGTTCCTTCTTAGTGAGTTTCTATGACTGTTGCAGCCAGTTGTCGCTGCTAATGCATATTTCCGTAAGAATTTTATATAGTGTTAGTTTAATTACTTGTTTGGGTGAAGCCTGAATATCTAAGACAGAATCCACTCGGTCCTGCATCATTACATAAATGTTAGTGTTCAGTCTTCTAATAAACTCCATTTGTGAATCTTAAAGGATGGAAAATTCCCTACTAAAAGGTATTTCAATACCATCCCGAGTCTCTTAAGTATTTCTTTGGACAACCGAAATGCAGAAAGGCAAAGATCATATAGGAGAGCAAAAGTGATTATATTAGAGCCACTGGCCTACAATGTAGTTCAGATGTTATTCTTTTTCAGTTAAGGTGATCTAGAGCGATATCAATGTAGGCAGAGACTACTTCTCTGGGAACTGGGGACAAAAGGTAATACAATATAGGTAATAAAACTTCAACTCCATTAGCATCAGAAAAGTAATTTCTCTTGAGATCCAGAAAACTTGGCTGTTCCCGTGTGCCTTCAAGGAATGATTAACTGAATTATACCCTCTGACTTGACCAATCCCTGCAAAATAATTGTCCTCGGAAGCACTTTATTTTCTACGTACTAGTGCAATTAAATCCTACTGTCATCCCTCTGATCCCCTGTCCAGATACAATACATTGCCTTCTCATCCAGTGTTTTTAAACTTTTAATCCTTTGCTATCAGCCCTGCCCACTGTGATGTATTTTCTTGTGTTTAAATTACTGTGATTTTATATTGTTGATGTTTATTTATATTGTTTCTTGTATTTTATTTTTTATTTTTATATTTTACTGTCGTATGTTGTTTATTTGCATTGTTGTATTATTGGGCTTGGCCTCTTGTAAGCTGCCCCGAGTCCCCTTGGGGAGATGGCGGTGGGGTATAAATAAAGATGATGATGATGATGATGATGATGATGATGATGATTACCCTGTAGTGCTTGAAACTAACTGCCCCTTTCTTTCTCTCAAGAAGTTCCATTATTGTTAGATCTTCAGAAATGTTTAGGTGTTCCTATAGGTAGGACTTGCCAAATGCAATCCAGATGCAGGAGTTTTAGTTTTATTCGGGAGTAAAGGCTTGATAAATATATATCTCAGTCCACTGGTCCTTTTGTCAAAGTTCACAAAACTTTTATTGATAATTAAAATATTCTGGCACTAAATAAGCCAATTAACACATGGCAGGTTATGCATCTGATGAAGTTGGCTATAGTCCAAGAATGATAATATTTTAATAAACCTTCTAGTGATGCTGTAATAAATCTGTTAGTATAATGCCACAGGGGTGCTGTTCTTGTTGCCGCTGCTGCTCCTTCTGCTTCCTCCTCCTCCTGTTGTGCACCCCATGTGACAGATCTGGTAATAATGCCAGATAATGAAGCTACTATGAGTCCTTCCCACAAAGGATTAGAATCTTTTTATTCATGCCTTTTTATTCGGGCCTTTAAAGCAGAAAGATCTTAAGAATGAGCCAGGGGTGGCAGCGGCGGCGTTTTATGGCATTTCAGTTGCTTTAAACAATTGTTTACATATTGTTTAAGTAAAGAGGTGAGAAGGATGGGGTACAAATATAGGAGAGAAATAATTTAACTGACTTGTCATAATAATTCTATGTTTAATTCTATTTTAATAATTATATATTTTAGGTTTTAAACTGTGCTGTTTTTAATGTTGCCAACTCTATCACAGCTACGACTTGTGGGAATGAGAGAGAGAGAGCCTTCTCTGCTGTGGCCCCCCAGCTTTGAAACTCGCTACCTGGTGAGATTAAGAAAGCCCCCACCCTAGCAGCCTTTAAAAAAGATCTGAAGACTTGGCTTTTCCTATGTGCCTTTGGAGAGTGACCATACATCTCATTTTTGTTTATTCCATCTACAGTGTTATCCTCATGATGCACTTTCCCCCATCCTTAATGAAGGCCCAACCCCATTGATTGTCTTTCTTGGGCTCCTCCCTCATAAATACACTCCTCACAAATACACTCCCCCTCCCTCCTATGTCATCCAGGGTTTTATCATTTTATCTTGTGCATTTGACTTGCCCACTGTGTTTGACTTTCTATTATGTTATTTTGCATTATTTATTTTATCTTGTTACATTATGTATTTTATCGTGATGTAATTTTTTGTTGTTTTGTATTTTATTTTGCTGTATTGTATTTTTGGGCTTGGCCTCATGTGAGTTGCTCCGAGTCCTCTTTATAAATAAATAAAGATTCTATTATTATTATTATTATTATTATTATTATTATTATTATTATGTTGGGTCATGGTCCAAAAGGAAATATGGGCTATAAATTAAAATATACATAACAACAACAATAGTTCAATTTTTCTTAACTGACTGTGGCAGGCATTTACACACCTTGGACATTTAGAAACATGTCTTTGTTGCTTTTGCATTGCCAAAACTCTCTCCTTCCCTACTACGTTTCACGACAAATTGACTGGAATTTCTTGCAGGAGTCTACAATGGGCAAGATAATTATGAAATGGAACAAGCAAGAAGTAGAAAGGAAGAATTGCTCCCCACCATCCCTGCAACACATATAATGGTAATAATAGGAGCCAACAATGACACAGGATTGCACAGTACAGGGATAGCTAAAGGTTGAGTGGTTACAGGGAAAGATAGAACTAATGCTAGTAGTATAGCAATGTCATGAGATAAGTTCCTGAATCTGGGAGTATATCTCCACTACAAGTTTGAACTGTTTTGATACTGCCTATTGGGCCTGTGAGATCAATAAAAAAAATCAATACTCATTATGAAATTAGGAGGTGGGGGATCGTTTCTGAACTATTTCCAAAATTGGACAGGGTCTGTATTGTGACTATAATGAGTTAACTACTTTTTGGTTACTTTTTGTTAAAGTAATTGTGCCAATGGGGAAACTTCAGGGGCTTCTTTCTCCCTTATTGTTAGAACTTGCTACAATTATAGAATACATTTATCACTGTTAGCCCATCAAGTTTCAGAATGTTTCATCCATTCATTGGTTTTGGGGAAATTTTCAAGTTTTTCCAAACAAGATTTAAAAAAACTACAAGACCTATCTCCTTGAATGTTTTATACAATGACACAAGATAATGGAATGATTCCCTCCACATTTCAGAAAGATTCATACATCTACTGATTTTTGAGAATTTTTTAAAAGTTTTGACAAAAACATTTTTAAAAGCCACAACAGCTATCTTATTGAATGTCTTTCCCTATATGACACACAACACATTACCCAATAGAACTTCAATTTTGGGATTTCCTGCCAGTCCAGCACAGATCTTACTAGTATTGAAGTATCAGTCAGTCCTCTTTGCAGATTCAATTGGAAATCTGTCTGCTGCTAGCAGGGAAAAATCTCCCCGCTATCCTAACCCGGTGCTTTCTGATGCTAAGCAGAATTCTGGGAAATGTAGTTTAGGTCAGGGCCTTTGAATTCTCTGCCATAGGTCTCCTCGCCTTCCCAAACTACATTTCCCAGAATTCTATGTTCTCTCAGTCTCTTTCCCAGCTTACTCAGCTCATCCTGCTCAAATGCTTTCCTCTTAATTTAAAGAGGAATGGGGACTTATGGGCTTTGCCTTGCTTGCTTGTGCTGAAAATGAAACTTTGGGAAGCTTCCAAAGATTACAGAATTTAAACAAAAATATTGGGTGAGAGGTTCGATTCTTAAGTTTCTGCTTGGGTGCCCCTCTGTGTTTCTTAATATTTGCTCATATATACAAATATTACAAATTAATTATGGCTAACAAGTTATGAATGAATTTTTGCACACTCCTACTAGCTATCATGTCTCTCCCGGGATGACATTGAGAACTATTATAGGAATTGCCCAGAAGGTATGAAAAATTCTGCCTAAGTAATTTCTAGTTCTATCTATCACAAAACTACAATTTCTCCTCACTTTCAATTTCTCCCCAATACCACATAATCTCTGGAATCAATAACAGGCATACCATACTTCAAGCATGGTTTTCCCCACCCACTGGAGGGCTCTAATCCCATTCATTATATCTAATTCCTGTTTCTCAATTTGCTCCTAGTTTATATAAGACCCTAGACTTCCACATACTGAAAAAGGCAAATATTGCGCATCTCTGAAGCATACACTTTGAAGCAAAGAAGTATAAGCTTGTCAGCTTCTCAAATAATGGACAGAAGAAGGTGATAATAGAGGTACCATTATAATAATCCATGGTCAAGGAAAGCTATGATAAGTTCAAAGGTATTGTGATGTCAAGATTGTAGTTCAAGACTTTATCGTCTCTTCCACACTTCCCTCCCCTATTTCCAGTGGCTTGGCTTCTTTCTTGCCTCTATGTGCATTTTCTTGTGAGTTGAACCATTTTGGAGTTTTCAGTGCCTAGGAATATGGAGTTCTGAAGATCTTCCTCAAACAAAACATTTTTCTATCAGTGCTGGCCAGTACTCTCTCTTCTCTCTCAATAAGCACTGGACACTTATAAAAAGAAAAGTGCAGCCCATGCTCTCCATCACATGCATTCCCAGTTCCAGAGAAAATCAACTTCCCCTTTTACAGGCATCTCCTGCCTCCCCCATCTTCCACATGCTTTTGTTCTAGCTCCATGATTCTTAGCCACACTGCCTCTCACCTGATCTCCATCCATGGGAAAGACGCTGATGTAGAGTCTGTCGAGCACTTTTAGCTATGATAGCTGCTAGATCCTCAAAGTTCAAGATGAACATGATGACAACACCTTCCTCATTCTTCACAGGAACCACATCCACCAAGCATCGGATGCAAGATGCTGCCATGAAACACAAAGAATGAAGGTAATGTGAGTAACAAATTAACTGAAGTAAACTATTGTGGTCCTCCATTAGACTATGCCCAATTTCAATCTGATTTTCAATGCATTCCACAATAATCATTATAGAGAAAAGACATCTTGGGCTGAGCAGTTTTATTCCCCTCGCCCCAAATTTCTAGCAATATTTTATCCTAAATATATTTACGACAAGGAAATATAATTACTATATCATATACCAGATCATATGCACACACTTAAGATACCGCCTGTGCTTCTGTATGTATCATAAAGTTAGAAATATACTGTACTAAATTACTCTGAATCACATATAATTTTCTGCCTGCATGAGCTCAACTCCCATTTTCTACATATTTTTCATATTCCACAATTTGAAGCAGTGTAGATACAATATTGGCTGTCTGAAACACTTCAGCCATCCTAGCTCCATCCCACTAAATCATTATTTATTTATTTATTTATTTATTTATTTATGACATTTATGACATTTATATGCTACCCTTCTCACCCCGAAGAGGACTCAGAGTGGCTTACAAGGTATATATTACATACAATATATTCTATTATCAGCATTGTACAATATCAGCATTAAACATTGCTATATTGCACCATACCACTATATCGTAATATTATTAGCAATATTACATGTAATATAAAAATATAATATTAATATATATTATTATTATTATATTGCATTACATTATAATATTATAAATATTATATGCATATACAATATATTATATTATATTATATTATATTATATTATATTATATTATATTAATTAGAATTGCACAGAAGACAAGGTGGAACTGTGCCCTGGCCCCTTCTCTCTTCTCTCTGGCCCAGAGCGACAGTTGGTGCTGGGGGGAGGGATTTGTAGTTTGGTTAGCCATTAAGAATTCTCTCTGAGAGAGCTCTAAACAACTCTTATCTACATAAATAAAACTGTAATGTTCGTTTGTGGGATTAACAGAACTCAAAAACCAGTGGGCGAATTGACACCAAATTTGGACACAAGACCCCTAACAACCCAATGTATGTCCTTCACTAAAAAAAAACTGATTTTGTCATTTGGGAGTTGTAGTTGCTGGGATTTATAGTTCACCTACAATCAAAGAGCATTCTGAAATCCACCAATGATGGAACTGAACCAAACGTGGCACACAGGACTCCCATGACCAACAGAAAACACTAGAAGGGTTTGGGCATTGACCTTGAGTTTTGGAGTTGTAGTTCACCTACATCCAGAGAGCACTGTGGACTCAAACAATGATGGATCTGGACCAAACTTGGCACAAATACTCAATATGCCCAAATATGAACACTGGTGGAGTTTGGGGAAAAAGAATCTTGACATTTGGGAGTTGTAGTTGCTGGGATTTATAGTTCACCTACAATCAAAGAGCATTCTGAACCCCACCAACGATGGAATTGAACCAAACTTGGCACACAGTTCTCCCATGACCAACAGAAAATACTGGAAGGGTTTGGTGGGCAGTGTCCTTTGGTTTTGGAGTTGTAGTTCACCTCCATCCAGAGAGCACTGTGGACTCAAACAATGGTGGATCTGGACCAAACTCTACACGAATACTCAATATGCCCAAACGTGAACACTGGTGGAGTTTGGGGAAAATAGAATCTTGACATTTGGGAGTTGTAGTTGTTGGGATTTATAGTTCACCTACAATCACAGAGCATTCTGAACCCTACCAGCAATAGAATTGTGCCAAACCTCCCACACAGAGTCTCAACAGAACCCCCATGTCGGCCACAGCAACACGTGGCAGGGAACGGCTAGTAATATTATAAATATTATATGCATATACAATATATTATATTAATTAGAATTGCACAGGAGACAAGGCGGAACTGTCCCCTGGCCCCCTCTCTCTTCACTCTGGCCCAGAGCGACAGTTGGTGCTGGGGGGAGGGATTTGTAGTTTGGTTAGCCATTAAGAATTCTCACTGAGAGAGCTCTAAACAACTCTCATGGACTAGAGCTCTCTAGGATACAGTTTCTTATACTGTGTTCCTGACCCCTTAGCTCAATGTTGGGGTCATAAAAAATTGGCAATAGTAAAAGGTTTCTGAATGCCACCCATTTCCATAAAACTGTTCACAGCAACGTGTAGTGTTTACAGTGGACTCTGCTTCAGCTGTACTCCATAAAAAAGAAAATCAGTATGTTAAGCAAGCCTTGCAAATGCTGATTTGTTATCAGCAAATATTTGCTTTTTACACCTATTATATATGCCTACATACCTGGGGTCATGCAAAATTTCTTGGACAGAAAATGGTTGCAAGTGGAAAAAATTCAAAAAGCCCTGCTCTAGAAGAGATTTTCCTAACAAAACCACAAATCCTCGGATTACTTTTAATGGCTCCATGGCAGTTAAAAGTGGCATCAAAGTACTATGATTATGCAGCACAAAACATACGCAAAACAAAATGGAACTGCCATTTAAAAACTTGTTCCGATACATTTTGACTATGTCATTTATTATAGCTCCTTGTACGAAACACGTAGAAGGAAGTGCTGCTTCTTTCCCCTCTGCTTCATTGTGATTCCACAGACAATGTTGCCCATGGGGATACATTCAAGTTTAGCATTAGTGTGGCATTAGTAAGAGCTACACTTGATTAAAGTTATGCTCCAAGCATACTTTTCGCCAAAAGTGGAGAGAGATTTTTTAGCCAATGTCAGGGCTCAGGTTCTGAATGAGGATGAAGAGGAAGAGTCCTTCCTTGTGCCTTGAACTTCATGCGTGGGACCTCTGGTGGGCTTCATTATAATTGACCCTTAGAGTGAAACATTGCGACTATCTTTTTGCCTTGTCCTCTGTATGGAATAAGTACTGTTATGACTTGGACTGCCTATGAGTATGCTTGCTGAAAAAACAGCTGTAAGCTTCTGACGGCCTACAAGATTGCTAGCCTACAAGTATCCATCTCTGGCCAGGGGTCATATGTAATAAAATTACCTTTCCTAGTATTGGCAAAAATCAGGCCTGCACAATTTGAGCCTCGATCCCATGGGAATGGTGTCAGGCTGGGGAGGGACCTGGGTTTCTCCCTTGCTGCTCAGACCTTGGCATAACAAGAGCAGGGCAGTAAAAGCCCAACCTTACCTGCAGGCTTCAGGGAAGGGCTTTGTAGGCCACATCTGGCCTGCAAGCCAAATGTTGTACAGGCCTAGCATAAATGCAATGGCTTCTGTTCTTACATCAGGGGGTTCTCCGCCATCTTTTGTAGCTATGGTTTCACTATGTGGCTGTGGTTCTGGCCCAGAAAATCTTTGAAACCTCTAGAGCAGATTGTAGAGGAGGGGAGAAGCAATGTATTGTACCAGTTTCTAATTTACTGGTTTGCCAACTTCTGATCCATCAAGTGATACAAACTTGATACAAACACCACCATCATTGCTTGATAATAAGCACCACCATCATTACAACATCAATATGTGATAAATTACATTTATTGAGAACCACGTCCAACTTAGTAGATGTAAAAGCTTCACAAAGATTATTGTTCTCATTATCTGGTTGTCTGATTTTTGGTTTCCTTACTACTTTGGTGACAGAAGTTCAGAAGTTGGTGCACTATCTGATCTGCAGGCATGTAGCCGGGGGGGGGGGGGGGGGCTCGAGGGCTTCAGCCCCCCCCCCAAATTCTCAGGGTGGTTCGCAAAAAGGCCTTACTGGTGCATTATTTAAACTGTTATGTTTATTCATATATGATCTGATCACCATACTCAATATATCCCATATGCATGGGGGTATTGGGGTAATGATACAAAAGGTTTGCTAGGGTAGACCCTCTTTCACTCAGACTCAGCCCCCCCCGAAACTCACCCCCCCAAAACCCCCCCCTGAAAAAAATTCCCCCCCCCCCCCCCGAAACGAAATCCTGGCTACGGGCCTGCTGATCTGCCTTTATGTTGGCATGGGTATTAGTTTGTGAGGGATCATTGCTCAACTGTCTTAGCAGCCTCCATGCCTTCTGACTGTTCCTGCCCGTGTCGACTTCTGTTATCAGCTTTATCCACTTTTTTGGCTTCAGAGATGGAGGACAAAATGCTCTGGCTGCCTGAAGAGTTTGCTCACTGAATGAGTCTTCATTGTGGAGCCTGTAATAGTCTTCTGTATCATGAGTAATGCCCTCTTGGTATAGAGGCATGTGAGCAGGTTTTTACTATTTCAATAAAATGCTCATATTCCTCAGGGATTGAAGTGACCAATATGATCTGTCATCTAACATGTCTGAGAATTTAGTCCAATCTGCCTTTCTGGAGTTGAATCTTTGTTTAAATCGAACTTCCTGAGGCATTATAGTTGGGAACAATTGGCATACTATTGACTGATGCTGTGTGTTTGGAATTGGTGGTCCCACAGATTTAGTTCATTGTTGCACAATGCTGTCACTCACAAATAGGAGGTCTGCATTATATCCTTGGTGCCACCTCCCACTGTTGTAGGATGGTGGGAGCTTACTATCATGAATAAGCGATACTTTGTGCAGTTCGGTCCATGAGAGGACAGCCTCTCTATTTTTAACCTCCTGAACAAGCCTCATACATGGTTATGGCTGTTAAAGACTCCAATTATACCACCCTTCGATGTCTATCAAAGTTCTCAGGAGAGGAGAAACAAAACTTCATTTGGGGGCTTGTACATAGAGGTAATTGTGATGCAGCGCCCAAACACGAATCAAGGAACATGAAAGGCACTGCAGACTACTTCAACCAGAGAAGTCAGCCATAGCAGAGCACCTGATGAACCAACCCGGACACAGCATATTATTTGAGAACACAGAAATGCTGGACCACTCTAACAACCACCATGTCAGACTACACAGAGAAGCCATTGAAATCCACAAGCATGTGGACAATTTCAACAGAAAGGAGGAAACCATGAAAATGAACAAAATCTGGCTACCAGTATTAAAAAACTCTAAAATTGCAACAGCAAAACAGCAGAGAG